GAAATGCGGCTGCAAATCGTCCTCGAGGTCGAATGCCGTGGTCACAATGGCACAAAAGTCGGGCCGTCGTGAGAGGGCATCCGCAGCTCGATTGGTGGGACCGGGAATGTGGCACGGGTCGAAGTCGAATTGGTCGATGTAATACATCCATCGACCGATCGTACTAGTGACCGTATCCTGCGTTTTGTAAAAGGTCAACGGATTGTTGTCCGTATTCCATTTAAAACGCCGACGGCCGAGAAGAAAGTGGCGCCACCGTTTGAGAACGGTGACGAACGCGAGTAGCTCTTTCTTCCTAGCGTCGTCTAGAGTGTTGACGAGGGGCACCTTTTGGGAGAAGTACTCGACCGGATGCCAACCGTCCTCGTGACACTGTTCCAACACCGCACCAATACCGTATCCCGAAGCGTCCGTAGTCACTTGGGTGGATAGGGTGGGGTCGTATATACGGAGGGCAGGTGCGGCTTGCATTGCTGCCTTCAACGTAGTGAACGCGCCACAAACTGCGTCGTGGAACTCGAAGGGCACCTTCGGGGACTGGAGTCTCGACAAAGGAGCGGCCACTTTCGAGTATGACTCGACGAATCGCTGATAATATCCAGCCAAACCCATGAAAGAGCGTACATCCGTCGTGCAATGGGGTTCCGGCCAATCCACGATGGCTTGGATCTTGTCCGCTAAGGGACGAATGCCTTTCGGCATGACAAAATGACCTAAGTACTCAAGCTCTTGCTTGGCGAACTCGCACTTGTCGAGATTTGCTTTGTACTTGGCTCGTCGCAAACGATCCAGAACAACGCGGAGGTGTACGATGTGCTCGTTCAACGTCCTACTGTAAACCAAGATGTTATGATGGTAGATGAGGACGCTGCGATCGAGCAAGTCGCGAAACTCAGTCGTCAACGCTGCTTGGAAAGTCGAGGGGGCATTGGTGAGGCCAAAGGGCATGACAACCCACTCAAAATGCCCGTACCGCGTCTTGAACGAGGTCTTGTACGGGTCTTGAGGCTGGATTTCAATCTGGTGGTAACCTGACTTCAAGTCCAACTTCGAGAAGTACGTCGCGCCGCCTAACCGCTTAAGAAGATCATCAATCCGAGGGAGAGGGCCGGCGTTCTTTACGGTTTGTGCGTTAAGTTTCCGATAATCGATGCCTAATCGTAGGTCTTTGTTCTTCTTCCGGACGAACCGGGGCACCGTATGGCGAGCAACTAGGGCGAATCCAGCCTTTGTCGAGAAGGTCATCGAGTTGTGCGTGAAGCACCTCGAGTTCCTCTTCGCTCATGCGGTAGATACATCCACGCGGAGGGACGGCGCCAGCCTCGAGAGTGATCCCGTGACGTATGGGCTGATCCGGAACCGTTCCGGTGGGAGCCTCGAAGACGTTTCTATACTCGTCCAAGAGGTGAGAAATGTGTGGGTCTGGCGGTGACGCGGCTGGTCCGTCCGGCCAGGGGAGAGCATGCAAGAATACAAGGCCCATCTCCTCGACGTCATTCCGAGCTATGGCGTCGCGAATTCTCGCAATGGAAACCACATGACAAGCAATCGAAGTGTGAGGGGTCGCGACCGTACATGGGACTAACACTCCGTTTCGATCACGGATGTGAA